AGGCGGTCATACTTGCACCTTCGATTGTGCAAACTAAGTGGATTAACACTTGGAAAGAGGTTTAAGCAGAATCCAGTGCATATGACTCAATCCATAGATACAGCTTGTGCAGACTCAACCCTGCAAATCAACTTTTTTGTTTGCTTTGATTGTCCACAAGTTGTAGACGCCTTGAATTTTTAGTTACTTGACATTAGGACCAGCCCTAAAGCAAAATGAGAAAAATGGTTAAAGTGCCATCAGTGCTCCTCTCTTTCTCTAGGCTGTTCTTTCTCTTTTCTTAAGTTCCCAGAGCTGAATAGCCCATTGGGACCAGCAGTTAGCGTAATGGCTATGTCGCTGGACTCCCATGTAGTTGACCGCGGTCCGAGTCCCGGACCCAGCGGCTTGAACTCATGTGTGCCCAAGATCCCTAGAGGAGAATGGAGGAGAAGGGATTGCGGTGTGGCCATCCTCTGGGGAGGGGGGGTGATTTCTCACTCTCTGTCTCTTTCTCTGTCTGTCTCTGTCTGGGAAGCAAATGCAACCTATAGCGAAAACCTCTCAAAAAAAAAAAAAAAAAAAGTCCATAGACCCATTTTCTCTCTGTTCCCTGTCAAGGCTTGGCTGTTGGCTGTGGAAGCGTTCTCACATAGCTAAAATCCTGGAGTGTGTTAGAGTTGTTAATGGCGTATAGGATTTAAAATCTTATCAGTATAGACGGTTTTACATTTCTTTTTGTGTCTTGATTCTCCAGAAGGTCAGAATCTGGTAGAATTATCAACAGGAGGATGAGCTGGTATAGAAACTATCTTGGATAAGAATGTATTGATCTCATGGAAGCAACCTCAGAGTCTTGTGGCATAAGCCATTTTTAGATGATTGTGGGGGAATTGGCGCAGAGCTGGTCAGCATCTCGTTGAGGTAGAGGATCGCAGTTCAGTGGGACTCTATGTGTCTGTGTGTGTCTGTCTCCCGCTCCCTCCACATGCCATCTCCCTCAGTTTCCACTGGAAGACAGCAGAAGAAAGCCCTAGGTCAACCGTGGCCTTGAAATGTAATGAGGTTACACTGGATTTACCGAAAACAGCCCAGGGAAGGCCTTGAGCCTACCAGAAACCTGTGTGAAAGGAGGAAGATGTGGAGGACAGAGTCAGACTACCTTTTTCTATTCCAAAGTTGTTTCCAGGAGTCCTGGGAGAGTCATTCTACAAACATTAGCAGAGGCCTACAAATATTAGCAGACGAAACGGTAACAGGCCCAGACAGCTTTGGGCCCTTGACAGTGGGGTGCTCCATCCTGTCCCAGGCATGGTGTCTCCATGATGCATAGTAAGCCTTCTTATCTCTTCGAGGAAAGCACAGACATTCTTTTGCTGATTTCTTCCAGGAACAGACTTGTCCTTTTCTTGAGCCCATTACTAATCCAAGCCTGTCAAGCTCACCTATAACCTGCAAGCCTCAGCTTCACGGCCTTTTTGAGCCAGGCCAATGTGAAAGACTCCACCTGCTGACCGACAGCCCCCCTGCTCTCCAACTGTCTGAAGGAAACCACTGTGTCTCAGGCCTCGCCCCCAGAAACACTTTAGTCTCTCTCCAACCCATCATTCAACCTCTGGTTTAGAATAAGCCGCATTAATTATTATTTCTGCAGAGTTGGATATTTCCATTGACGATGCTATAAACTAGAAAATGCCTTATGAAGACTAGGAGAGGTGGGGCCCTCGACTCCCACATGGCTGACCACGGTCTGAGTCCTGGACCGGCAGCTTGCTTTCTCACTTTCTCCCCCCCCCCCCTTCCTCTCTCGTCAAATTAAAAATAAGCAAAATAAAATAATTCTTACAAAAGAAAACGGTTAGGAGAGGTGACTCTCCTTTCTCAAGAGCAAGAAAGTAAGTCAGCAGCATTGGAAAGGCACGGGAGCCGCAGCTTCCTGGGAAGCCGTCTTGAGCTCGTGCCGCAGCTGTGGGTCTTCCCTCTGGCCCCCAGGGGGCAGCCTCTGGTGGCATGAGCATCACAGGACAGCGGGTGTACAGATCCGCTCTAGGACCCCGCCTCCTGCATCTCAGCCCGAGGGAAATGCTGGTCCCACTTGTTACGCAGTTGTACACACTGCATGCACCTTGTACTGCGGGGTCACGCAGTGTGTACTGCCCACGGCTGTGCATGCTAGCTTGTGGTTTGTTAGAAATTGTGAAAGGTTTGTCCTCCATAACCACGGTTTTGCCTTATCTTCCGTCCATAGCAATAGAAGGAAAGGCGAAGGTGGAATTGCTTCTACAGTAGGTTGGTTCCTAGCATGTTCCTTTCACTTATAACCTGATAAGCAGTTTATTGGGTTGTTGTGATGTGTTTTTCTGTGTTTTTCTATGCAAAACTGCATCATGACTTTCCAATGACTCAGGGCTTTGTCGTTCCCAGCGTGAATCTGACCTGCCTTCTGTCAGCTCTCGGGCAGCGTGTCAGTATTGACTTACTGTTTAATAGGCGTCATGTTAAAATTGTTAGACTTTCCTAGGTCTCTGCCTTCTAGTTAAGACACCTCATTTCACCTCCTGTTTTTTCGTTTTAATACAGGGCTTGCCAGCTCTATGGCCTGGTGGCTAAGGGAACCAGGTCCCACATAGCCAATCATGCAGTTCGAATCCTGGCCCCAGCAGCTTGAAAAACATACCAGGTGTGTGTACATGCCCAAATCCCAGCAGGTTGGAGAAATGGAGGAGAAGGGATTGTGGCATGACCACGCCCCATTGAAGAATGCTTTCTCCTTCTCTGGCAAGCATATGTGCCCTCTGGCAAACACACGCACACACACACACTCACACACACACACAAACTATAAGGATTGGAATAGATTGTATATTTAAGAATCAGCAGGTGGTGTGGTGATTAAGGCACTGGACTCCCACATGACCAACCATCATTCACGCCCTGGACCTGTCAGCTTAAAATTCACGCCCATGCCCAAAACCCCAATTCCAGCACACCGATTTCTCAATCTTTCCCTCTCTGCCTCTCTCTCCAGTGAGCACACATGCCTCATGACCACCAATCTAAAAGAGAAAAGAAGGAATTGCATGTTTATTTCATTATTTGTTTATTTTTATGCTAGAGGGCACACATGCATGCACGAGAGAGACAGAAAGCACCTCAGCAGGGCTGGTCATGCCATAATCTTTTTTCCCTCCAGTTCTCTTTCCATTAGGATCTTGGGCACTCATGTTTCTCAAGATGCTAGGGCTAGGACTCCACCCCGGTCAGCCATGTGGATCAGACTTCCCCTGAGTAATGCTTACCCACTGTGCTGAACGCCTGTCCCGGAATTGTATATGTATGTGTGTGTATATATATATATTGAGAGGGCACATGTGCTCATCAGAAAGAGAGAGACAGAGAGACAGAAAGTGAGAAATCACCCCCCGGGGGGATGGACACACCACAATCCCTTCTCCTCTATTCTCTCGGGATCTTGGACATGCACACACACGTGCCTGGCATGAGTTTAAGCCACCGGGTCTGGGACTTGAACCGCAGTTGACTACATGGGAGTCCAGCGACATAGCCATTATACCAACTGCTAGTCCCTGTATACTTTTTTTTAAAGAGAAATTTTTGCTATAGGGTGTATGTGCTTGTTGGAGATGAGAGAGAGACAGAGAGAGTGTGAGAAATCACCCCCAGGGGTCATAGCCACACCACGATCTCTTCTCCATTCTTCTGTCTGGATTTCCGTCACACATGCACATGTGCCTGGCATGAGTTTCAAGCCGCTGGGTCTAGGACTTAAACTGTGGTCGACCAACGTGGGAGTCCTGTGCCTTAACCACTGCACTATCCGCTGGCCCCAGCACTGTATAGTTCTAAAACTGAGAGGTATCTTCAAGATCACATCTTTTAGTTTCTTTTATTGTGTGAGCACACTGACGCCTAGGACTTAAGGCGTGCCTCTCCAGCTGGGATGGTGTCACCCTAAGGGGGCAAAAATTGGTCCTGGGAAAGCAGAGCGCACTCAGATATTGTTGGTTTTTTTTTTTTTTCCACTAGGAAGCAGCCTTTATTGAGATGCCACTGGCTGCCGGGTTTGCTCCTCATATTAAGCTCCTTCCTCCTTTGCAATTCTGTCCTTCTTAAGTGGTCCCCTGAATGCTTTCTTCTCCTCCACAGTCTGGATCTCATATATTGTTAGCATTTGCCCGGTCTTGCCTACAACATCTCGCCCCTTAGTATTTAAGTTCTCTCACCAGGAGGGCAGCAGTGGAGGAAAGGTTGGGAGACACTGATTAAAACGTCCTGGCCCCAGGCATGCTGGTCCACAGAGGGGCTCGTGTGAGAGCTCGCACTTGGCGCCGTCTGCATTCTTTCTGCCGCCCTCGTTCAGCTTCCTTCCCTCCTTCTGTTTCAATTGTGTGTGCACTGGGCAGTTTGTACTGTGAGTTGTAGTCAGAGAAGTTTGAAAAAAGCCAAACTAGATGATGTGCAAGTACCTTTGCTTTTTAACAGTCTCTGACGCCATGGTCGTATGCCATCCTCAGGAGCACACAGGCTAGGTGGCTCACTCAAACACAAGCAGTACAGGGGAAAGAGACCCAGGGCACCAGCTCCTGGTTCCAGATGACTTTAGTTTGGTTTGAATTGCCAGAGGATATGAGCGCTTGCCAGGACAGAGGGAGAGGGCGGAAGCACCCCAGCAGGGGCACTGTCACTCTGCGGTACCAGCCCTCCACTCCTCCATCCTGTGGGGACTTGGGCATGTATACATGTGTGCCTGGCCCAGTCTGGGATTTGAACTGTAGGCGGCCCTGTGGGATCTGGTCTCTTAGCCACTTGGCTGCAAGGCTAGCCCTGGATTCATTTTCTCCTTACCAAGCTGGCCTTACGGACTCTGTCAGTGGGTTTACGGGTTCTTTATGTCCTGTCTGGACCTGCTTTTAAGTTTCCAAATACTTAGATTCTTTAGAAAGAAGAATGACTGATTTGTTTATTGTTTAATTATAATTCCGTCTGGGTTCATTTTACAGGAGGTGGGCTTGGAAGCAAAGAAGCGTAAGCTATGCAACCAGCACAGGTATGACTGACTGCGTGCTATTTGGCTTTCCTTCGGGTTGAACATTAAGACAGGAAAGGTTTGGTCTTTTAAGTAGTGCACGAAAGGATTAGTTCCCATAAACCTGTAAAGCTGTGGGGGTTTGTGATTGCTTTCTTGTATTAAGTCATGGCTTTCACCTTCTTGACACTTTTTTCCTTTTATCAAAT